TCAAGTACACACTCCTCCAAGGACACACTGCCAATTTACACAATGACATATAACAGAGGACACTGAAATACAAAAATGTATCAGATTTGGATCTCGTGTGTAAGCCTGTTGAAGCCGCGGAACCCCAGTTGCTAATCCCCAGGGCAAACAGAGGCAAAAAAAATCCTTGTTAAAAAAGCCGGCGGAACAGCTAAGACTACTGATTAGGATCAGAGTGACTTTGCAAGCTCCTGAAATAAAACAGTAAGGATGAAGGGCTTTACTAAGCTGCAGGAGAATTAGACCGACAGAGATCTGATACAGCGATATGAGATGCAGATTTGACATTCCATGAAAGGTCATCCTACTTTTCATTTCATATATGTATGCCAAGGTGAACCTTCTTTCCATCTATCCAGCCATCCATCCGCCTATCTATCTATCTATCTATCTATCTATCTATCTATCTATCTATCTATCTATCTATCTATCTATCTATCTATCTATCTATCTATCTATCTATCTATCTATCTATCTGTCTATCTATCTATCTGTCTGTCTGTCTGTCTGTCTGTCTGTTTCGCAACTGTCTCTTTATCTGCATAACCCACAAATAGAGTGAAATTAAACTTCAATTTCCAATTAATTATGCATTTTCTTAGCTGCTGAAAATCTTCCAGACCCTCCGAACATGTCTAATATACCGTGGGCGTCCAATACCACTGTTTGATATCCCACAGAGAGTGAAAACAAGCGCTGTATATTAATGAGAGTTACTCTGTTGCCAGGACTCATCTATAACATCAAACAGGAATGTACGAGTGGTTGCAGGTGTCAGAGATTAGATTAGATTTACGTGGACTCATGGATCCATATGAGATCAAATCATGCACGCAGTTTCGATTGATCCTTTTTTTTATTTTTTATTTTTTTTGGAATCGACCTGCTGGAAATCACCAGCGTGTTTTTGTTTTTCGATGTCGAAATATGCTTTTGACTCGAAGCCAATTCAAAGCGTAGAAACCACATTAAAGGGTAAGGAGGGGTTTCATAAGCAAAGCCCATAGTCCTCCAGTCATTCTGTGTAGCTGGAAAACAGAGTAGCACTCACCCTGTGAGCGTCTGGGCTGTGAAGGGAAGTGGACTTTGTTCCAGATTTCCTCTTATTCTTCAGGAGGGGCTGCATGGGGCTTTGATGTGGTGCTGGGTAGGGCACTAAACTGAGAGCGGCCAGATGGGGCTTCGCTTCACTGGTGCTGTAGGAATATTTATGAAGATTCAAGGCATTTACAGACACAGCGCTGCTGTACTGTGCAGCAGTTTACCAACAAGCAAAAAAAAAAAAAAAAAAAAAAAAAAAAAGTCCTTCTAACAAGCACACACACACACACACACACACACACACAAAAGGGACAGATTAAAATATTTTTCCTTTGAAAGAAATAATTTATCCTTGTTAGTTGTAGTAAAATACAACATTTGTAGGCCACGGAATCTGTACAAGGACACACAGACATGTTCGTCATGTTTGAATAGTGGTATTTTAGTCAGCCTTGGTGCTTCTCTTCTTTGTACCTTTGCCACTAACTGGCCTGTGTGCTCTTCACCATAGTGCTGTTACTAACTCGGTCCTTTTAGCAGAAATGGGGGAAAAAAAGAAGTAGAAAAGAAAGCTGCAGGACTGGGTCAACTATTCAGACGCTACAAGTATGCTTTTAAGATCTACGTATAGCTAAAGGAAGAAGGGCATTTGGCACTGTAGCTGTAAAACGATTACTCTACCTTTCAACAGTCCCCAAAAATGTGAAACAAATCCGTTTTTATATTCTACACAGAAACTTTATTGCAAAAAGATGATGACTATCCAAATCAAGACATTACAAAACGCCACAATCAAGATAGACAGTTCCAAACAACAATCCTCAAAAGAAAGAGATGATGTTGGTCTAATTGTCTGATGTAAAACCACTGCTACATCATCATTCCCAGATACTATGATCAATGGCAGGTAGTTCTCTGACTCCCTCGCTTGTGAATGACATCACATATCCGAGAGCCCGCACAATCACGTTAAAGGAGTTTGAACTAAATGCAGTATGGCTTTCATTTTGGCAAACAAGGTCTAATGTGCTGAGCTTGTTTTAAGGATAATAAAAAGCAATGCCATGATGGACCATGCGTGGACCTTTACTGTTAGAAATGTAAGCTAATGGCCTCTCCTGCTTTTCAGCAAGAAAATACAAAACAAAACCAAACCCCCCCCCCAAAACAATGGCAAAAGACTACACCAATAAATTGAGTAATAAAGAATAAAGAATAAAAGAGATCAATGGTTGACCCTGCATATATGGCTGAAGGGAAAGAAACCACTAAGTACTTTAAGAGGTTTACATTCAAGCTTACACATTTCACACACATTTCTGTGTAGGAAGAAGCAGCACAGACTATTACTGGTTCACTCCATCATCAAAGATACTCTCCTAATCTTAGGCTTTGGATGTCTTTTCAAAGACTTTTGGAGTTTGAATTTAAAAGAATCTGTCGGCTCTGCCGCATCACGTCGTATATATGATTAGTTCAGCCGTTCCTTAGTCACGGCTGTTTTAAGGGCATGAATTAGGCCTAGTTTTGAGCTAGTACATAAAGAGAAGATAACTGTAATTATACCACGCCGCTGTCTTGATTCTGACCGGCCATAAGGTGTTAATTATCTATAAAATCACGGTTCGGACAGTAGATCAGTTTATACAAATGTTACGGTTAATGAAGGATACAAAAGGTCTGTTACTGTTGGTAAGGTAGGGTTTTGTTTTTTGTTAGATTAATGAAGTAATTTTGCATTTAGGAAGGAGTCTCCAGGGTCGGCGCTGTGATATAGTCAGAGGTAAAGCTGCAACTATGTTTTCAGTCACAGGAAATGCTTAAGGATTGCAGGATTTGCAGTTTCTCAGCAACATAACAAGCTGCATTGTGTCTGAAAAAGAGAGGATGGAGAGAGGACTACTATTTATATCTGCTAGAACATGAGTGATAACAGGAAGTCACTTGCTTCACAGACGTTCCAGTAAATTAAATGTAAACTATAAATGGATCTAATGTATATCCTTTAATAGATTAAAAGACAAAAATGTAAGCAATGATGGTATATGAGGAATAAAACACTTCAGGACACGCCATTATCAGAAAATAATCATCTTCAGGCTAGTAAAAGTAACAGCGCTTTGAGTTGAGCTGCATCTCAGCACCCCATTGTGGGTAATTTTCCAACAACAGCACACCATATAGTGTGATATATATAAAATTAAACTTACTTAATCTGGCTTTTCTAGTTGTTTGCACCAAGGGGACAAAGATATAAATAATTTGAATATATACTCAGAAAAATTATGATATTCATTTTTAACACTGCATTATTTGGTTAAGTGAAACCCAAAAAAAATATTTTTGCCATTGGTTTTTAATTGTTTAAAATTGGCCAATTTCAAGAATTAATATTCATATAGTGAATATTAACTATTCACTATATTGGGGGTAGGGGGGCAGTGGTGGCTATCTGGATCAGAAAGTCAGGGGTTCAAGCCCCAGCACTGCCAAGCTGCCACTGTTGGGCCCTTGAGCTAGGCACTTAACCCTCTCTGCTCCAGGGGAGCTGTATCATGGCTGATACTCTGAGCTCTGACCCCAGCTTCCTGACATGCAGGGGTATGCGAAGAAAAGGATGTCACTGTGCTGTAATGTATAAATAGACTCATTACATCACATGTATTTTGCTCAACATATTCCCATTGATTCCTGAATTTTTGGACACACTGTTGAAATCATGGGACATATGGCATAGAAATAATGTGTTTTTATCCATCTGGTCCTGCATATTCTGGAATCTCCATGTATTCCAAGAATAAATCATTATTATTATGTTTAAAGGCAGTAAAATACCCAGGCAGGTTTGGTCTGAGAAAATCCAAACCATTGCAATGATTACTGACAACACACAGATTATGCATGTGAATTCGACACTCAAATTGTCTTAAAGCGTGTAATCATTGCATGTGTGATATTTTGCATAAAAAGAGACAATTTCAGCTCACATCCTCACCACCCACTTCTGAAATGCTATTATTGCTTTCATTCCCAGAACAGGAATGTACTGAATCTGTGCTTGCAAGCTCATCTATACTTGGAAACACTTTCTTTACAAGAAGGCGTGGTGTTAGGTTCCAGTGTTTGGACAGCTTTTAAGCACAAATGTAGTTAGTGTTACTGTAGGGCAAGATTTGTTTTCCCCCCTCACAAACAGCCTTCCTATGCTGTTGAAAATACAGGAACCATGAGCCTTTTCATTCAGAACCAAAGAAACCAAAGCATGGCCTTCAAGCTTTGTATTCATATTTTACTACACACATAAATCCAACAAAAGAGACACATCACAGTAGTTTTTTTTTAAACCAAGACTATCAAAAAAAAAAAGAACAAATTAATTGTAGCTGTTCCTATTCCTCCAAAATGGAAGGAATAGGAAATAAAAAAAAGACTGGAAAAACAAATGAAGAAAAGGAGAGAAAAAAACAAAAAACAAAAGCACAGCCTCGTGTGTTAGAACTGGAAGTTTTCATCAGCCATGTCAATAGCCCAAGCAAACTTCGCCCTGTGAGTCTTATTGTAGATCTTCTCCACAGGAACGTTGTGCTTCTTACACCTATGGACAGAAACATTTCTCTATTAAAAACCACACACGCAATGGTCAGCCATTCTGAGGGTCTGGTCACGCCAAAGCTAAACTGCACTAGTCATCATCTATATCTACAACAGATTAGGTCTGGATCTCAGCTCTTATTTCAGCTACATGTATTTTACGTACATTTATAGTATTTGGAAGACGCCCTTGTCCAGAGCGACTTACCATCCATCCATCTTCTACCGCTTACTCCTTCTTCAGGGAGAGCGACTTACATTTATTTAAATTTATAAAACGGAGCATCTGAGGGGTAAGGCCCTTGCTCAAGGGCCCAGAAATAGCAACTTGGCAGCGCTGGGATTTGAATTCACGACCTTCCGATCAGTAGTCCAACGTCTTAACCACCGAGCTACCACTGACCTACCACTTTTATTAAATGATGGTGAGTGAGTGTGTAATAAAATACTGCAAATCTGCATATTGTTTTCATTGTTCACAATGGCTGCAAACAATCAGCAACAAAGAATTGCAATGAGAATAAAAAAATAAATAAATTACAGCTTCAAAACATGAACTTGAAAGGGACAGCCTGTCTCCACTGTTCTCTTATAATTTGCACCAGATGTGGCATGGTCACCAGAGTGGTATCCCAAACTCTGAGTACCCCTTCAGGGTTTTGCTGGTGAGACAAGCAAATCATTTGCACGATCCCTCTTCAAGTCATTAATCAATGATTGTTTCAATTATAAACACAATTTCATTATCACTTTTATGTTTTGTCAGTAATATTATTGACTTGTGGTTGGTCCTGTTTCTCAAAATCTGCCATGTTCATCACGGAGTCACCTTCTGCCCCTATATACAGTCATGTGAAAAAAGAAAAAAAAAAACATCCCATGGAATTATTATTATTATTATTTTTCCTTATTTGGACAAGCAAACATTTTATCCTCTTTGTAACAGTGCCTACTAATAAAGGTAATACACTATCAAATTACATAAAATTTACATTTGTTAATAATCTAAGGTTTTCCATGTGACTGTTTTTTGTTCATTTAAATTGTAAGTACACCCCTACATTTATCACACTTTCAAATCCATAAAATTAGAATCAGGTGCCAGTGATTAGAACCTGCTTAGGTAGCGCTGGTCCATTTTTTCCCCTTTCGTATCTAGTGTCTGCTGTTCCCTCAGCTATTGAGATTCGTAGTGGCCTTCAGAAAAAAAGGTTGTGAATGCTTGAGTCAGGCAAGGGATTTAAAAAGCTCACCAAATTATTTAAAATACATCTTTCCTCTGTAAAGAAAATAATATACAAATGGCGCAGATTTAAAATAACTGCCAATTTGTCCAGGACTGGTTGTCCCAGCAAATTCAACCCAAGTGCAGACTGTCTGATGCAAGAAGAAATCTCCAAGAATCCCAAAAGTTCATCACAGGATCTGCTAGTAGGTTTAGCAACTGTTGGTGTCAGAGTACATGCTCTACAACCAGAAAGAGATTGAACAATTTTGACCTGCATGGGAGGAGTGCCAGAAAAAAGCAAAACTACAGTTTCCCAATGAGCATATAGGCAAAGACCATGCATTTTGTTATAATGTGCGCTGGACAGACTAATCAAAGATAGAGTTGTTTGGCCAAGGTAACAGCAGACTTTTCAGGAAAAGGACCTCATACCAACTGTGAAGCACAGTGGTGGATATGTTATGGTTTGGGGTTGCTTCACTGCCTCAGGGACTGGACCGTATACATTCATTGATTCAACTATAAATTCTGCATCATATCAAAGAGTGCTTGAAGATAATGTGAGGCCATGTGTCCAAAAGTTGAAGCTGAACCGAAAGTGCTCCTTTCAACAAGATAACAATCCAAAGCACACTAGCAAATCCACCAAGTAATGGCTGAAAAAGAAGAAATGGAGGGTTATGGAATAGCAGTCAAAGCCCGGATTTGAATCCCATTGAAATGTTGTGGGGGGATTTGAAACGGGCAGTACATGCAAGAAAGCCCTGAAACATCTTGCAACTAAAATATTGCATGGAAGAGTAGTTAAAAATTCTAGCAAGGCGAGATCAGAGACTGATGGACAATTAAGAAAAATGCCTACATGAAGTTATTTCGGCTAAAGGGGGCAATACTATCTTCTGAGGCCATAGAAGAATATCACATATCTTCATATTTCTGTTTGTGCTACCTCATAGCGCCAAGATAACAGCTCAGAGTCTTCTCAGAATGTCTGATGAGGTTGGAGAATACATGGAAGGGGTCTGAGATCATACAGAATCTCTCCAGATCCTTCAAATTTCGAGGTCCAGGGGACTGGTATGGCCATGGAAGGACCTTGATTTTGAGGTCTTTAAACCATTTTTGTGTTGATGTTGATGTATGTTTAGGATCACTGTCGTGCTGGAAGATCCAACCATGGCCCATTTTTAAGATTTCTGGCAGAGACAGTCGGGTTTTCGTTTAACCTGTTGATATTTTATATGATGCCATGAGTCCATGATTCCATGTATCCATACAAAATGTCCAGGTCCTCTGGCAGAAAAACAGCCCAAAACATTAAAGAGTCACGACCATATTTAACCATGGGCATGAGGTACTTTTCCATATGGCTACCTCTGGTGTTTGTTGCCAAAAAGCTCTATTTTGGTTTAATCTGACCATAAAAACTGATCCCATTTGAAGTTCCAGTAGTTGTTTTTGGATGAGAGTAGAGGCTTTTTTCTTGAAACCCTTATAAACAACTTGTGGTGATGTAGGTGACTTCGGGATGTAGTTTAGGAGACTTTCTGACCCAAGACACAACTAACTTCTGCAATTCTCCAGCTGTGATCCTTGGAGATTTTTTGACCACTCGAAACATTCTCTTCACAGTGTGTTGAGACAATATAGACACACGTCCAATTCAAGGTTGATTCATAACATTTCCAGTTGACTGGAACTTCTTAATTATTGCCCTGATGGTGGAAATGGGCATTTTCAATGCTTTCAATTTGTTTATGGTCACTACTCATTTTGTGAAGCTCAACAACTTTTGCTGCACATCACAGCTATATTCCTTGATCTAACCCATTGTTATGGATGAGAATTTGGCATATGCGTTACATCATATTTATATCCTATGAAACAAGAAGTCATGCTTGAACAATTTCCTGTTCCTAATCACCCAGGTGTACTAAAAAAAAGTTAATGTGAATATACCTAATTTCTTATATGAAATCATAGGGGTGCCAAAAATTGTTGTACACCTATATTTAACAAAGATTATTATTATTTTTTGGATAAACCTGTGTTGTGTTTGCAATTCTTCGATATCCATGAGAGCAGAGTATTTTTTTTTTTAACAAAAGATCAAAAGGTTAATCAAAGACAATATTTTCACAGTCTTCTTTGCTCATATTTTCCAAGGGTGCCAATATCAGTGGAGGGCACTGTATGTCAAAAGAGGGGTGTACTTATTTTTTCCCTCACAACTGTATATATACACTCACAGGGTGTCGGCAAAAGTCTCCAAACGTAGAAGAAATTAACACTTTAGCAAAACGTCTTCCAAAATTATTCATACATTTTAGTTTCATATATATTAGTTGAGGACTAGAAAAAGACCTGGGGATGTTTTCCTGTTATCTACAAAAGTACAATTTTGGTGAGCCTGTGCCCACTCAGATTCTTGTTCTTGGCTGAGAGGAGTGGAACCCAGGGAGGTCTTATGCTTTTGTAGCCCATTCGCCTCAAGGTTCAATGTGTTGTAACCCCATTTGAAAATGTTAGGGTGTGTCTCAATCAGCTACATAATTCAGTAGTCATGGCGCTGACCAGGGAGTCAGCCATTTTAAGGGATGTAAAATCCCTTGCAAAATCCTTGCAGTGCACTGAAACCTTTGCTGCCTAAAAATCCCACAATGTACCAGGGAACATCGATGCTCACCATGTTCCCTTACTGAAAATGACGTGTTCTGAAGCTTCTCAGCTAGGAAAAAACAAAAACAAAGGGGCAGACGAACTCTCAGGCAACTTCGTCTACAAACGTAAGCAGCTTGTTATAGTTGATGTAGCTCTCAAGTGATGACTTACATAAGCGATTTTAAATTTTATTTGATTTATATGGTTTGTCCGAGTCTAAAAACTTAAGTGTTCAATGATTTAAAAAAAAATTAAAATCCACTAGCTTGTCTATGATCCTGCTTGAAACACCATCACAGAAACATGTGATTAAGCTAACAAATTTATCACATATAATGTCAAAGATATCGGTCCTGCCTTTGTTGATATGCCAGTGGTGACGTTTTACAACGAGAGAATGTAGTGTGCCTGTAAGGGTCTTTACCAGTACCTGAACTCGTGTACACAATCTACTGATTTATGAACTAGACAGCGGATCGAGACGCACCTTCAGCTCAGCCAAATAGCACTTCCTGTCCTTTAGTGCTAACCCATAATAATAAGTAAACAACATTTTAGAAGCACACACATCTCTTTTTGTTTACAAACAGCAAAGAGGTTTATATTTTAAAAGGCCAAATTCATTTTACAGCACCTTTCGTTAAGCCAACCAGGAGCATAAAACCCCATGCTGTAGAGTGGAAGTGTGAAATGTTTAACATTTTACCAGGCCACAGTGATGCGGGGGTCGAGGTAGTTGAGCTTGGAAGTGCCCAGAGCGATGACCTTGTTCTCCTCTCGGTCCGTTTCCTGCAGCTTGAGCTTCTTTAACTGTTCTGACAGCCTCTTCAAAGCTTTTTCCTTCTTCTCCACCAGCCTACCAGAGAGCAATGGAACGAGACGGAGGCTTGTTTTCAGAGAAATAACATGCTTCAGGTAAAATATGCAGATGAGCAGTGATGCACTGCTGTGTGTTCATGCTGCAATGTGTTAGTGTTGGAGTTACATTTAGTTACATTTCCAGCGCTTACTCAGTAAGATTATTTTATACAGTTATATTTTTCCATGCTTTCTTTCTGATGCATTATTAACATTATGGTTACACTGGCATGTAAAAACAAACAACAAGCTCATCTTCTAGTCTGTGAAACGATACAAATTTACAAATGAAAGAAGTAAAATCTCACATAAAAAGTTTAAAAAGCTATGTTATTTTGTGCACAAATATCACTCCATTCTTTCAACAATCTCAGCCCGTCCAAGTATGACTAGTTTTTCTTGACCAAAAATATGGCCAAAAGCTCAATTTCAAACAAAACATTCAACGGGCAAACCTTGAAATAACTCCAAAGCACATACAACAGCCAGTAAATACACAATGCTGGTAGTTTTAGTGCTGATCGTACTTCTTTGACTTCTCTGATGGTTGCTCCTTGTGATCTTTCTTTGCTTGCTTCAGCTCTTTTTTGGCTTTCTCCACTTCCTCCGTTTTCTTTTTGATCTATAGAAACACAAAAACATCCACCTAAGGATCT